TGGAACGCCTCTGCAAGGCCGGCCACTACTAAAATGGCGGAGGGCTGTAAGAAGCCGCGAAGGAGATGGCGCCTGTGTCGTCACTTCTCTCCCTCCGCTCCCGAGCGTGAGGCACTTCCTTGCCTCTCCTAAGATGGCCGCCAGAAGGGAAGGCGCGGCTCTTTCCTGCCCTTCTTCCCTGGAAGGTCCGACCGCTTGGCAGTGCCGACGTGGCCGCTCGCCGGCGGAATGTTTCTCCCGCGCTGCCTGACCCGGCCCGTCGCAATAAGGGGGTGCACAGCGGGCTGGGCAGCGTCGCCCCCCCCCCCCCCGTCTCCGTCCCCCCCGCCGCCCGTTCTCCCTGCTGGGCCGGGCCCGCTGGCCTGCCCAGGAATGCCCCCCCGCCGCCCCCCCCCAAATCCTGATCCAGAGGAGCGGCCCAGCGGGCGCACCCCCTTCCCGCATTGCTCCGCGGCGCCATCCCCGCGGATCGGGCCCTCGGCTGCCACAGTCGCCTCCGCCGGACTCGGCTTCCCCGCTCGCTCGGGAGCCTTGCACTGGCTGGACGAGGCTTCTGAGTGCGGGAACCGGGTGAGGCGGTGAGGCTCCCCCAGCCGGCGCGGGCAGCGATTCTGCGTGCGAGGCTGTGGCTGAAGCTGTGGCGATCCGGCTTCTACTCCCTGCCTGGCCGTGCAGCTCACCAACTGACACTGGGCCAGGCACAGAGTCTTGGCCTGTCCTACCCCGCAGGGTTGTTGTGAGCATCAAATTGGGCCAAGCATTGTGCAAGCTGCCTTGAGTTCCTTACAAGAGAAAAAGGCATGGTGCACATGGAGTATACATGAGCCTCTGTCTGCACAAATTCTGCACCTCTCCTAATGGCGATCAATAATAAAATAGCCTTTTTAGAAAGTTCAAGGTCCAATAGCTATCGAGAAGACACGCCTTCCGCTCAGTATCCTCCGCTTTCTGCAACAGCGCTGCAGATGCATTTGCACACTCAATGCAGGGCTTGTCTTGTTGGTCCCCGACCTTTCCTCTGGTATTTCATTCTATTTTTCTCCCACCATTTTAATGTATCATTGCTTTTAAGCGTGATTTGATTGTGCATGGCTGGATGCTTTGCCATTTCATCAGTCCTTGTTGTAAAGCGCTAGTAACGGGGCAGGGTATAAAGGCTGACTCGTGACACCGGGCCTGTGTTGCCTATTCCACAGGGTGGCCTGCAGCGGGCAACAAAAGGGAAGGGCAGGAAGGCCCCTTCCTCCGGCTTGTGCCCTTTCTTGCCGTGCCGCAGTCAGAACATGTCACAGAGCTGACGCGGCAAAGTCAACACAATAGGAGCCCGGCAGGTGAGAGCAGGAAAATGAGGAGGGGTTCAGAAACAGCAACGCGTAGCACACAGGGAATCCGCAGTTTACAGCAGGGGGATGCGTCTTAAATCACAAGGTGACAGTAAACGCCTGAATCCAGTGCAAAATAAAGCAAGGGAAGTCGGCAGAGGTGTGATACTGAACTGACTTTTTATACTTACAGTGTAGGAGGAAGAGGTTAAAATAAAATCATTGACTAACAAGAGGCCATCCAGCCCCAAAGGTATATTACATGTTCAATCAATAAAAGCTTATTTGAAAAGGACATGTTCAGCAGCATTCAATTTACAACTTCGTTGTGAGGGGTCACCCCTGCCCCACGTCTGCCAAAGGCCAGCCAAGCTCACA